TATATATTTATTTATATTAATCTAAAAATTTTTTTATTTAATATTTTACAAATAATTTAATTAGAAATAATTTTTTGTTATATTTTATTCTTAAATTAATATTTTACTTTTATTATATTATTATTTTATATAAATTATAATAATAAATTATAAATTTTTAATTATTTTATATTTTTAATTTCATCAATTTTAAAATTTATTTCATTCAATAAAATATTCCATATAATTTTATTTAAGAAATAATAATATAATTACAATACTTAAAAATCTTATTTTTTCGTTTTGTCTATTATTCTATTTATTTAATATATAAACATGAATTCATAAGATAAAAAGAATTAATAAATATGAATTTTAAATATTTAAGGGGCTATTTGTTTATATTTTTAATTATAACAATAAAAACTATATAATTATTTATTTTTATAAATAAAATATTTATATAATATTATTGTATTAGGGTATGTTAATATAGTATAAAAAATCGACTTTTTTTTTTTTTTTTTTTTAATTAAAGTATTTATAATGAAATCTTAAATTTAAATAATATTGATGAATTTTATATACTATATAAAATATAAATAAAATTTAATTATTTTTAGTGACTATCTATAAAGAAAAAAAATGAATATAATAATAAAATAATTTAATAAAAAAGTATATAGGGTATTAATGTAATAACAAAAATAAAAATAATTAAAAGAATGATTAATTATAGCTAAAATAGAAAATGAATTAAACTTTAAATTTTTTTAATTTTTTATAAAAAAAAAGAAAATTTTAATTATTATATAAATTATTTTTAATAAGAATTCTAATATAGAAATATAAAAAAATATAATAAAATCAATATTCACCCGCCAAAATATATATATATAAAAAAAAATTAAGTTTAGTAAATCAAAATATATATATATAAAAAATAATATTTATAAATAAATATATATAGAAAAATAAATTCATATTTATAAATATATAAAAATATAATATAAATATTATTATATAAATATTTATATATATATATATATTTATAAATATTAATATATAACTATTTTTTTTTATACTGTTTTAAATTTTAAAATTTAATTATCTATTTATATATATTGATTATATATATTTTTTTTTTATGTAAAACAATGATCTTTATTATATATTAAATAAATTAGATATTATTATAAATATTTTTTATATTTACATCCTAACCATCATAAAATCTTCATGTTTATTAATTAATTATTTAAAAAATATTATTCTATCCTTTTATTATTTTCCAATATTATTCCTTATTTTGTATGAATAAATATGTTTATTTTTTTTATCTTTTTATTTGACTTTTATTTCTAATTTTTTTTTTTATTATATATTTTTTTTATATTTAATACAAAAAATGCTATAATATAATATTTAGAAACATATTATTTATGAATCTCTTATATCAATAAGCATAATAAATGTCTTTTTATTTTATTTTTTTACAAATAATGATAATAATATATGATATTTTTAAATACAATTCCTATTTTTATTATAAAATATTAAAATAAAATGGTATTTTCTTGATTTTTTATTCTACAAATAAAAGTATATATATAAAAAAAAACTATTTTCTTTCTAAACAGCTTATCATATTCATTTTATTAAATAAAATCATCATATGTATTTTTATTTTTAATGTAATAATCTGTTAAATCATTTAAGATTTTCTAACTAATTTGAGGGGTGATTATGGCTATAAACTTTAATATATATATTAGAAATATAGATTTTTTTTTTTTTCTAAAAAGCGAAAAAGTATATATATATATCCACCCTATATGAAAGGTTATTTATTAAACCTAAAAATAAACAAATAAGTTTTTATTTATTAAAAAAAAAAACAAAAACAAAACATTAAAACATATAAAAATAATACGTATTATAAAAACTAAAATTTTAATTAAATTAGACAAATTAAAAGAAAAAAATATAAATATAACTTTAATAATAAATAAAAATGGATTAAAATAATAATAAATCTAATTTAAATGAATAAATAATAAGTAGTGATGAAAAAACGCCTATTTTAATATAAAAAAATACAATAAACCTTTAATATATAGAAAGACCATTAATATAATTTATATTTTTAATCTAAATAGCCTTTTTAAGTTTTGGCGCTATATATAATAGTATATTTTAATCCAATGTAAAATAATAAATAATGTAATAAATGAAATTAACTTAATCATAATATTCAGATTTTGTATTTATACCTACAATTCCTGTTATCTTTTTAACTATTCTAGCCGGGCCTTTATTAGATATATTCGGAAATAGAAAAGGCATCTTTTTTTTTACTATATTAATGGCACTAGGGATGTCTTTATGTTTAATTTCTGTAAATATGAACCTTTATATATTATTAATATTAGGAAAAACAATACATAATATAGGAGCAGAATTAATTGGAATATCATAGAGTAAAAATACATATATTTAATATAAATAAAAAAATAGGTTTTTTTTATGCAAAATGGTTTCGATGTAATTAATTAGCAAAAGCATATACTTTTGGTGTATTAATAAATAAGATTTCAAGCTCTATATCAGGAATAATATACCCTTATTTATATTATGTTTCCGATAATTTAAATAGTGGAATTATTGTAGGTTTAATTACTTGTCTTTTATCATTTTTTTGTGCAAATATAGCTATATATATGGATATAAAAGCTGATAAAATCAAAAATATTAATTAAGATACTACTTTTTCAATATTAAATGATATATAAATATAAAAGAAAAGGTTTTCATTTAAAAAAATAAAATAATTTTCTTTGTTATTTTGGCTATATGTATTATAAAACGTTATAATGTTCGGTTCTTTTTACGGCTTTTTAAATTATTTATAAGACATTTTAACAACAAAGTTCGGATTGGATAAAACCATAGCAGGACAACTAGTTTCTGTTCCTTTTTGGATGGCTTTTTCATCACCTTTATTCGGAACTTTGGTAGATATAAAGGGAAGAAGAATTATTGGATTATTACTATCCTCTTTATTAGCTTTTGGTAGTATTCTCTATCTATATATACTTCCTAATATGAAAGGCTTACCCTATATAATTGTTGGCTTAGTGTTTTTTGGTCTTTTTGTTAGTCTTGTGACGGTTTTTATATATCCAACAATACCTTTTTTATGTGATATGGAAAATATAAATATTGCTTATGGAATTATGTTATGTTTCAAAAATTTAGGTTAGTTGAAAATATATATATATATATATATATATATATATATATATATATATATATATATATATATATATTTTAATTTTATTTAGGATTGTTTCTTTTAAATTTTGTTAGTGGTAAAATTATAAAAGATGATGATTCAGGATATTAATAATACCTTATGTGTTATTTTATTATTTTTCTAGTTTCTGTATGTATTTCTGTAGTTATTTTTATTATTGATTTTTTCAAACAAGATGGATATCTTAATTCTAGATAACCTTAAAAATATTCAGATAAGATAAAAGATTGTAATTGATATACATATTTCTATTATAGATATAAATATATTAATATTAAAAAATAAAATAATGAAAAAAAAATTAATTAAATAATTATATATATATATTTATATATATATATTTATAAACATATAAATATATAATTATATATATTTAATTAAAAATATAGTTATTTATATTTATATTTATTATATTTATATTTATATTTTATTTTTATTTACTTTTATTTAATATTTTATTTTTTATATTATTTATTTTCTTTATTTTTATAAATTAATATTTCTAAAATATATAAAAATATTATTTATATAATATAAAAACAATATTAAGAATAAAATAAAATGAATTTTAAAGACAATATATATAAATTTGTATTTTTAAAAAAATAAAAAAATAAACTTAACTTATTTTTATATTAAAATAGTATAGTAAAAGCAAACAAAAAAGCAATCTCTTTTTAAAAAGAAATTGTTGAATTAGTATTTATTTTTTTAATATATAATTTATTATTATACTTCTTAAATAATTCAAATAGATAATATATAAAAGTATATTTTAAGTAATATTCTCCAATTATCACCTTTCATTTTTATCTTCTTCTTAATATTGTTTTTTAGCAAAAAGTTATTTTACACAAATTCTGTGTCTTTATACATTTTAGCAAAATTTAAGACAATAAAATTATTCAAAATAAATTAATTATTAAAAAATCTTCTTTTTATCTTTAAAATAAGTTTTTAATATCATAATATTCAATAGTTTTTTAAATTTAATCTTCTATATAATATTAAATTTAATAAATCATTTTTTTTACTTTTATTAATTTTGTTAATTAATAAAATATCACTTAAAAGTAATGAAAATTTTTTAAATTATATTAATATTTAAAAAATGTCATTTGTTTTTTTATATATTAAGAATATTTTAATTAAATAACGTAGATATATATATATATATATATATATATATATATATATATATATATATATATATATATATATATATATATATATATATTTAAAAAATAATAAGATATATATATATATTTTTAGAATTATAATAAAAAAAAAATAGATTAATCAATTAATGTATTTTTAAATTTTTTTTTAAATATATTTAATTAAATAAAAAGTTTTATATTAAAAAAAAAAAATAAAAAAAAAAATATTATAATAAAAACACTATTAATGTAAATAATAAATATATTAAAAAAAGAAAGAAATATATAAATCAAAATCTTTTAATAATAAAATAATCGTCTAAACTAACAATGTATATATATATTTAGTAGATAATAAATAAAATTATTTTGTATAAAAATAAAGAAAAAATTAGAGTTTTTTAATATAATGATTAATATAAATATAGGAATTTTTTAAAATTATTTTATAATAATAAAATAAGTAAAAATAATTAAGTAAATGAATAAAATTAAAGAAGAAAAATCATAATTAAACAGATTAATATTAAAAATATTTTTATGTTTTATAAATTAATGTGTTATAAATTATTAAAAAAAAAAATTATTTAAATTAAATTAAAATAAAGAATATATATTTCTTTTTATTATTTATGTATAAAAATATATAAAAAAAGAAATAAAAGATATATATAGAAATACAAATAGATATAAATATATATATATATATATATAAATATATATATTTATATAAATATTTTTTTTAATATATTTGATATTTTTAATTTTTGATATATATTTGCATTTTTATTTTATCTTATTAAAATTCATTTCTTATTTAAAATTTATTAATAATTTCATTTTATTTAAAATTTTAGATATATATTTTTTTTATATAACATTTAACTTTGTATTTTAAATTTAATTTTATAAAAACTAAATTTATGAATTTTATTTTTTTCATAAAATATAATAATAATGTTATTATTATTATTTTCTCGAAACTTCATAAGTCATTAAGATAATATATATATATTAAAATAGATTTTTATTAATATTTTTTTTAATATTGTAATATAAATTAATAATTTTCAATTAAGAAAAGCAATCTTAAGAGGCATTTTTATAATAAATGTAAATATTAGAACCTTAAATATATTACATATAATTAGTTTTTATTAAATTTTACTAATGTTAAAAAATTTATATATAAAACTATAATTACTTTGATAATTTATTATTTTAAATATTGATAAATCTAAAGTTTTGATATTTTATTTTTTCACATAAATAATAAAGTTAAGTTTGATTAATGATAAAAAGATGCATATATATAAAATATATAAAAAAATAAAATATTTTTAATATAAAATCTAATTTAATTAAATTGTAATTTTATTAAAATTTTTTTTTTTTAAAAAAAAAAAAAATTATCTAAATAAAAGATTTAAAAATGTTTATTTTTCTTTAAGAAAAAAATAGTATTTTTTGGACTATTTTTTTTTTAAAAATTAATAAAATTTAAACGAATAACTTTTTATTATTTTTAAATAAAAATACTACATTTTTGCACTAAAAAATAATGTTTTTTTTTTTTTTTTTTTTTTTTTCCAATTTTTTATT